ACTCACCCAAACTTTATCTAAAACCCATTTTTGCAAAGTTTGGCCATAGTTTTCAAGAAACGGGTTTTGTAGGGGTTTAAGGAATTCATAGATTTTGACCTGTTTCCAGTAGTTTCTATGCTTAAGAAGAGTCCTTAGGGTCTTCTAAACATTAAACTCAACTATTAATCATTGCATTGGTTTTTGTCTAATAAGAGAGGTTGGAGAGAGCTCTCAAGCAAAGGGGAAGGAAAAATTACCTTGAGTTGAGCCTTTGACACCCTTAGCAGCTAAAAATCACTAGGTAACTCAATTTTAACTCAACTATACCATGTGTAGCTTATTAGATAAGTTTTGATGGATTTCATCAGCTTGAACATGCCATGGTATATTTCATCATTTGAGTGTTTTTCGCATGTTTACAGACTCTTTATGACCCTTAATAACGCATAAAACACTTAAACATTAGTTGGGAACCTCAAAGGGACATTTGGGGGAAGCAAGATATGATGTTTTAGGCCAAAACAAGGCACCCTGTAGCAATAGTATCGATACTTTAAGAACAATATCAATATTGTTCTTCAATCAAGAATAAAACATGTAATTTTTAAAGGGTAGTATCGATGCTCATCCTTAGAGTATCGATAATGATGCCCCAATTTTGATACCGAATGGCTTGGTATCGAGATCATTATAACAATAGGCAATTTCGGTACTGATACTCACATAGAGTATCAATACCAAGGAAGAGGTATCAATAATCCCAGTAAGGTTATCGATACTGAGGGTATTTTCAAAACATCGAATCCAAAAAGTATCGATACTCAGCCTAGAGTATCTATACTACCTCATTCAAACAACCCTATTCAACCAAGGGGAATTAATGCCAATAGGTGGGTATCATACCAAGGGTCAAGTACAGATACTGAAAGGTCAGTATCGGTACCCATGAGCTATTTTGGATAATTAATCCAAAGATTAAGGGATCATACTCGAGGTACCCCATATACTTAGAATAACAATAAATAAGACTTCAAGCGAGAACAATAATAAACATCAGAACTGCAGAAACAATAACAACTATGTATACATAAAATGATCCTTGTTTGACGCTCGGAAAACAACCAGGATAATCAAGTATCTCTTAGCATAATACGACAGTCAATGGATATCCAAGACAGTGCCAAGGCACTTCAGTAGCCGACTGGGCGCAAATGATCTAAGACTCAACAGAGTAAGTTGGTGGGTGTACGTTCTGATGCAGCTCTGGATCTCACCCTAGATACCCGACGATATCTCAAAAGGGCTAGAAATGTGTGTAAGCTCTGATATGCAGAACCCTAAGTCGCACCATGATGCCTACTCAGTAGTTAAATCAATATCTTTACATATTCAGACCTGTGTCGCTAACCAGCTCATTTAGTGAATGCATACAGTATGGTAAAGTTATTAGTAAGGCACTAAGCTTGTAAGCTCAGCATTCAGAATGTGTTTCAGTTTGCAGGTTCTTAGGGGCAGATCGTGGGGAGTTATCATTGCCAGACATTTTAATGCAGTAGACTAGCTTTCTAGAGACCTTCAGCGTACGTCTTGAGACATCCTTTAGAAGGCATGTACTATTATGGACCTTTTTATGTATTCAGTCGTAACTTTATATGATACTCAATATTTTTATTTTGGATGTATTTTGGGAGCTCCCCATTGATTTGTAAACATGAATTATTATCACGCTTATTTTATTACTATGGATGACTTAATTTTTCAATGATTTATAAGAAGTTTTTAAAGAAAAATTTTGGGTCACTATTTCGGTAGCCCCTTGTAACATTATAATCCATGGATCTTCGGGTCATACTGGATTAGGGTGTTACACCTCAATCATGCATGTATAGTTGCACTAGTCCAATACAATAGATATCCTTAGAGCTTAGCTTAACATCGGTGTGAAACCAAGCCAATGCTTCAGTTGAATGGGAATTGTATCGATGCTATGTGACACTGGGTTATTCCTCCATGATCTATCTGATTGCTATGTGATATTGAGAAATCATCCAGCAGATTAATGTGAATTTTACCTATGCTATGTGATTACAAGGTTCCCTCAATTAACTAATATGGCTATGTGATACATGATACTAGATGTCTGTCGTGTTCAGATAATGCATAGTAATGTCAATGTCGCATTCAAATAATGCATCGTAGTGTCAGTGTCGTATTCAGATAATGCACAATAGTTACAATAAGAGTGGTTACAGACTAAATAGAGATGTACTTATGGTGAAGCCCTTATCAGAGGATTGAGGGAAGCATGAGACTCTCATTTCAGTGATAGAACAGTTGAACCTTAAGTAGGTAGCATTTGATTATGATCATGCATGTACCTATTGCTCAATACCATGTCTTTAGCATGTTTCTATTTATGAGACTCATGATGTTGCTCTAGATTAGCGATTATACTGTTGGGTTTTGTAAGCTCAACGTTCAGATGTTTTCATTTTGTAGTTTATTAGCTTGATCCGTTCATGGAGCACCGTCGTAGTAGTACTTCCAGCATATCTTCTAGAGTATCGTACTGTAGGCATGTGTAATCATAGAACCTTACTCATGTATTTAGTTTGTAAAACTTTGAGTTGTAGTATTTGTTTTAAACTATGTGTCACGTAGCTCTTGTTTATAAAAGTGTTTTTTTTATAAATGTTATGTATGTTTATTTTGGTACCATTTAGTATGTGTTGAAATGAAAATGAACATGTTTTGGAAATCAGGGGTTGTCTTGATAGCCCAATGTGACACTTTATGGCCAATTAGGTTTAGAGTGTTACAATATTCAAGGATATACATATAAAACAAGATACAATCATGAGCCTCGTTAAAAAAATTTCCTAAGCCTAACTAAAGGAAAAAAGAGTACTCCATAAAACTATCAATATAAAATAGCATCACTTTTCAATTTACAAACCAAACAATCCAATCAAGCTAACACACTACATTACCAATGCCTTAACCAACATATAAGGAGAACAAAGCTCCATAAGCATTGGGCAGAAACTATGATTTTTGTAGCATCACAATCATAGAATTCAACACTGGCTCTTAACTCGTTTCAACAATTAAACACTCATCCAACTAGCATTCGGATAGACAAGACTAGCACCAGCTCACCATGACCATAACCACTGATGTTCTTTATACCAGACCCCTATAACCCATGGAACCATAGTAAACAACGAAAGCAAAAATAATGATTGAAACTTGGGCACTACATATGCTCTCCACCTTATTACCAGCCTCGCCACTATAGGAAACCCGCTATTAACCATAAGTAACGCATAGGGAAGCAGCTACATGAGATCATCCATCTGAATTGGCAACTAAATCCAGGCAGCAACCACAAATAGTATATCTCAAATCCACTGGACAAACAAACAATAAAAGACACAGCATCAAACCACCTCTTAAACTTAGACAAAACCAACCAATAATGTTAAAAAACACGTTAATCCGAGAATAAAATAGAAAAACAATAATGATAATAAAATTACTATAAAAATTAAAGAGAATGATTGAGTTTACTGTCTTAAGATTGTTGACCGAAGTAATAATCTGAGATGAAATCAAACCTGCGAAAATCAAACAAAGAAGTTAAACTTCGTAAAGTAAATCAAAATTAAATAGAAAGATTTTTTTTTTTATTTTGATCAGTAGACACATCATCAAACTACCTCTTAAGTAGTATCTTTGAATATTAAAATGTTGAAAAATTCATTGAATAATCTTAGTGATTAAAGTGTGTGTTGTTCTTTCTTGATATACGGGTTTAAGTACCTGTGTTTGCATGGAATGTGTCGTCAATGGTTAAAAAATATTATGAATAAATTATATTTTGTCAGAGATCATTATTTTTTTGATGAACATAAGAGATAATTATTATAATACTACTCTCTTTACATATTTTAAATTATATCTTTATTTGATCAAATTAAAATAAAAATTATATATATATATATAATTTTTCTCTATATCATATTTTAGGTTAGATATATATTTTTTAAAATCTCAATAAAGTTAAATAACATATGAATGTTATACTTGATCGAGTCAAAATGGATTAAAAACCTAACTCGTCTATACACATGATCATCACTACACACGAACCCGGCCTGCAAGTCGTAATATCTATTTGGCATAATACCGAAAATAGTCCTCCAATATTTATTAAAATGACCATTTTGGCCCTTAATATTTTACTTTGGAGGCAGAAATCCTCTCTATAGATGAAAACCTTAGTTGACATACAATTAACACTCCAAAATAAGAGCATTTTTAACCTAAAATAAAATACTTAGGGTTAAAATGTTCCAAAAAATAAAAATAAGGGCTAAAGCGATTATTCTATCTATTATTAGAGGCTTTTTATGCCCTAGAGTGAAACATTGAGTTAAAATACTCTAAAAAATAGAATACAAACAAAATGATTATTTTGATAAACATGAGAGACTAATTTTAGAGAAATTATTTTATAGATCCAACTCACCACGTCATTTATTGTCCCAATGAATGACTTCCACGAATTTTAAAATAGATTCCAAATAACCACCCACTTTTTATTTACATATAGGAAAGAGTTAAAGATTTACTTTGAAAAAAATGACGTGAACAAATGTTATTGGTTAGAATCACGGATAACATGATGAATTGGAGACTATTTAATAATTTATCCTAATTTTGATGTTATATATGTGTATCTCGCCGAGTTAGGACATACTTTATTTAAAGCAAGTGGGGTTGAATTAAACCAACCAAATCGGCCTGCCAAATCATAATATTAAACATTATCAACAACCCTAAAATCCAGAAACGACGAACTTTGTCTCTTCGTCATCACACACTCTTAATACTCACCCATCATTCAAGCCTCCCTTTCATCTTCCCCATTATCCTCTAAACAAAAACTCACCATGTACAGTCAAACTCCAATCCATCAAAATCAAATCAATGGAAGAAAGAAGGTAAAAGCAACCATGGGTTTGATAGACAATTCGCCGACGATCTTAATCCCTTTGCTGCTTCAAAATTTGGTATCTCATGAACTGATTTACGCCGATAAATCTCTTTTCTACTTATCGGAAAAGTACAAGCTGCCTAAAGTAATCCGTTACCTCATCGTCACTTGTTTTCTATTCTTTCTAAAGTTCGTCCCTTCGAATTTGATGTCACTACAAGGCGGTGATTACTCGTTTAAGCTCCGGAAAACCGACGTTTCAGCCGTCGCAGGGGCGCTGTCGCAGGCGCTGTTGAGTGTTAATGACATTCCAGTGAGCTCGAGAAAGTATGAGGTTGTTTGGTCGTTGGCGGAAAGGCTTGTCGAGGAGAATAATGGAGAAGGCATTGAGGCTTTACGTGAAGTTAATCGTGTGGTTTTGTTGTCGGCTTTTTCGAGGACAATTTGTCGACTCGAAGCTGCAATGACGGAATTGGGGTCCGATAGGGTGGTTTAGGACGGTGGAGGGGGCGGGACGGTTCAGTATCATATGATAAGGGCTTTATGGGCGGTTCGGAATGTGGTGTGGAGTTCTAGGACAGGGTTTCAAATCGCGGTCGCGATCACGTTTTCTGTCATTTTGGGTTTATCATGATTGTGGCCGTCGGGGACGCTATTGCAGCCGTCGCGGGCGTTATTGGACGTTATTGTGGGTAACTCAGACGGTGGTGAAACCACTATTTCACGGACGAAATCATATTTTCGGATCGTGATTTGAAAGCCTGTTTTAGGGTGATGAGGGGATAAAGGATGTGAACCGGTGTAGGAATTCGGCGGAGAAACTGGCGGCAGATCTGCTTTAGTTGGCACAGAAATTGGCTGTTTGTGGTTTCGCCGATGAGGCTGTCGAGAGATGGTCGTCGGCTTCGAATTTGGCGTCGCTTTGGCTCAAGGCGGAGCAGCGTCTTCATGGTTCACTTGTTAAGCTTTCGTGTATATTCTCAGACTTTAATTGGTCTAGTTTAAATTCAACCCCTACTTTATAAAATTCACCGAGTTGGTCTTCCACTTTAATTTATAAAAAATTCGGTCCTTACACACTATTAAATCTAAAACAAGAGTCCAGTTGAGTTAAATTATATTTAGGGACAAAAGTTTAATTAGAAACTAACATATTTTGACCTGATTCGGTAGAGTGAATTTTTTTCAAAAATAGTTTAGGTCTAGATCAAATCATATCAAAATTTATAGAGCGTGATATCAAGTCAGGTCGATTTCATATTCATAATGAAAAATCTTTGACTTTACCCGACTCAAGGTAATAGCATAATTTTTTTCTATAAATTTAGGGATTGTAGCTGTAATACTCTATCTTTATAGGTTTTTAATTATATCCTAATTTACAGAATAAGAACTATATATATATATATATATCGGTCATGTCAAATGCGAATTTTCAACCCCAAAAATTTACGTTGAGTTGAGTTCGGGTGGAGATAACAAGCTCCTCAAAAATGGTCGAGTTAAATGAATAGCGTATGCTTCTTGAGTAAGATCAGGTTAGTCAAAAATTCGATCCAACCTGAAATACTACCACCTCTAGTCAAATAATATTACACACCTTCATTCAATCACAAAAAATTAACAACACGTTAACTGGAAAATAATCGGCACAAATTATATGAAACAAATAATAAACATTAGGCAATTAAAGTTTATGTATTTACACAATTATTAAAATCGATAGTTTAACCTATCAAAAATTGAAAATTAAAGGGATGAAATTTATAATTAAACCACTTATAATTCAGATTTACTTGCTTATAATTAATGAAAAAAGGCATGCAGCATTTTTATTCATGCAAGCGAAGAACACGATAACGGAAGAAGATAGCGAACAAGGCAACAATAGCAACAAAGAGAAGACGAGGGAAACGAAGATGAAGATGATAACATCGTGTCTGCCGTTGCTGTGCCGAGCGAGCAACGGCAGTGACGTGCCGGTGCTGCCGTTGCTGAGCATAGGCGAGAAAGTCGAGCTCGAGAAAGTATTGGAAGACGCCATCGAGAAGCTTGAAGGAGATGAACAAGAGCGAGTGCTTTCGCTTTGGCTTCACCATTTCACGTATTGCTCATCCTCCAATTGGCCCGACCTCCGTCCGTCGTACTCTCGGTGCTGCGCCACTTCTCGCAAGCTCTTTCTCCTCCGTTGATTTTTTTAGTTTTAATTTCATGTGTATAATGTAATCGAATAAGACCTACTTTCTCATCATATTTAATGAAAAATAAACATTATTACCAATAAAAATTAAAAGCTTATAACTTTATACTCCGTAATATAAAAAATTATATAACTATTTGATATTATATTTTTTTTCTAGATATTATATTCCATCCCATGAAAAATGTTATTGACTTTTTGAAAGTTAAATTTTATAAACTTTGACTATAATTATTTTAAACATTTAAAATAATTAAATTTTATAAAATATGTATTTAAAAACTACTTAATTAAAGTTTTATAAAAAAATATTTTTTCCATATTTTTATCAATAATAAATAAATCAAAATTAAAAATTTTAAAAAATAAATAATGGATGAATTTAATGGTATAAAAGGAATATGTTTTTTTTTTTTTTGAATTGTAAGAAGTAAAGCTAATTAGTCATTGCCTCCGGCGAGACTTACAGAAAAACTGGAAATGTCCTTAGTTAACAGGTAAGGATTGCAATCGGGGGTGTTTCATGATCTTGAAGAGCGAAATCCTACTGTGCACTTAGTCTGGAGAGGCAATCGGCTGGAAGATTAAAACGTCGAAGAACCCATATAATCTGTCACTCAAGCTCGCTTGCGTAAATCATCGATTGCTCGAACTAGCGCATGAGGGCTGGAGCTGGCATCTGGAGAATTGATGAGGGCAATCGCAGTGGAGCAATCAGATTGAACTTGTAAGAATTCAAAGCCAAGGGACCAGCCTAGCTTCAATCCTTCATAGACCGACCATAGCTCAGCTTGCAACGGGTTTGAGATGCCTATGTACCGGGTAAAACCAGTGATCTAGGAGCCGTTTGCGTCTCGGAAGAGACCACCTATTGAGCTTTGTCCTGAGATTTTGTGGACTGCTCCATCCATGTTGAGGGTGATCCAACCATGAGGCGATTTTAGCCAATTTCCATAGAGAGAACAGCCAAAGGTCCAGTCTGAATGAGTGGACACGCGATGTTGGTGATAATGGATAGCCCATAGGTTGTCGTGTTTAATGATTTCGTTGAAAGAGCTGGATATTGAGTTGAAAGCAAAGTCATTTCGGCTTTTCCAGATACTCCAAATTAGGGAGGCAAAGAGAATATTCCATGGGACAGAGGTTTCATTGTTCGTTGTAGGGAACAGTTGAGTGTAGCCAAGGCTTGATGCAAGCCATTGCCAGATATCTACCGTCCAAAAGTCCAAAAATAAGAGAACATACATTGAAATGCTGCCATATACTTTTGGCTTGAATAGATTTTAAGTTAAAATATTTGAAAATGTCGTGTTTCATTCTTCAAAGAGAAAATTCCTTTTACATTACAAGGATAACTAAGACTTATTCACGCTTTACATCTTTTCAAACCGGAACTTGGTGGATTAAATTGTATAAACTTAAATTTATTGTAATTGTTCATAAAAATATGTTTTATGGCAAAATAATTGTTTTACCTCTAATTCTAAACCCATTAAGAGATTTTAATGGTAAAAATGAGTATTATTCTTAGAGATTTTAGATTCGAATAGTTGTGTTTGTAGAGAATATACGTGTTGTCAACAATTAAAAAAGATTCTAAACAAAGGTTCTGAACAGATACTACCTTATAATCATTCTAGACTATTTAAAGAAAAAAAAACTTAAAATAGCTTTGTTTTTGTACTTATCATTGTTATAATGAATACAAATATTAAAATGACCGAATACAAAGAGTTAAACAAGTGCCAATCTCTACGGGTGTTCAAAATTTTGGTTATCCGATTAAACTGATCGAACCGAAATTTTTTTCGGTTAATCAATAGGTTAATTTAAGTTCTACCGTTAACGATTAATATTTTTATCAAAGTTCGATTATCGATTGGTTCGGTTCGAAATTGATTAATTAATCGAATTAACAAAAATTTTAAAATATTTAATATATTATTTATATATTAATAGCTTCAGGAGTGTTTAAATTTTGGTTTTAACCGAATTAATCGACCAAATTAATCGAGTTAGCCGAAAATATTAAATATATTTAATATAAAATATATATCATTTAAAATTTTGGTTAATTCGGTTAACCAACCGATTAACCGAACTTTGTTCGATTCAATTAATTATTTTTGAAAAAAATTTCGATTCGGTTAACGGTTAAAATGAAATAAATTTTGGTTAATGAAATTTTGAAAGTTCGATTCAATCTGTTGGAAAAATTAACTGCTGCAAAACGAGGTGTTAGCGCTGACAGAAAAATATTAAATAAAATAATCAATTAGAACGATAATCGTGTCATGGTAATCCACTGCCTTAGAAGTGATTTCGCCCCGATGTGTGTAATCGCTACAATAGACGAATTCCCCCTCGAGGTTAACACGGCTCTCCAAATTCCGTACACCCGAAAGATGGAGTGAACTTGGTGGTATTGCTCTTCTCTCAACTTAAACAACACTCAAAAGAGATGAGTGTTTCAAAGAAAATGTTTGCCTGGGATATTTCAAAATGAATGAAATTGCCCACTATTTATAGACTAAATAGTGAGAGAAAATCCTTATTTCCAAAGCACAATTTAATTCTAGTAAAAATATAATTAAATGTCATTTAGAAATAGGTTACAAATTTGAGCATTAACCAACAATTCCCCGCTAATGCGAAATATTTAAAAAAAATGAAAGCATTGAAGTTAAAACACGAGAAGAGTAATATCGAGATTAATTACTTAAGCATAGTGAACGTACCTTGAACTAGTACATAGTGATGATGAGCAGTTCTTCTCTTAGATAAGTGAAACTAGTCTTGAACTTTCTAAGATAGGGGTAAACTCGTAACACACAACTAACCACTTCACCCACCGAAGTCTCAACATGTCTACAAAGAGTATATACAAGGATGTATATATGTTTAGCCCTTTTTCCTCAGGATTCTAATAAGTGTACTAGAAAAATGACCCAACGTTTTTCATAGAAGGTGGCTAATCATTCTCACTTATGTAGGTTATTTCATTAGGTTTATCTCAACACAAACTACCCAAATCGGGCTATGTTAAGAGCTTTTACAATAGCTCATCCTCACAATAGGTAAGGTGAGTTTCTTCAAGTTCATATTAAATGAACCACCCAAACTCTGGGATAAGAAATCATTAAGAATAAATATTCAACCTCATTAATCAGTGAATTCAATATGTCATTCTCACTAGGAACTCCTAAACTCTTGGGGTTTGAATTCATTAAGAGTTTAATAAAATTCATCCTCTCTAGCGGTAAGTTCATCTAGTCCTTCGCGATTAAGACTACCCA